GATAAGCAGAAACCGTGCCGACACTTAACGCTACTAGTGATGGTATAGGGATCTGCGCCATATCCAAATCAGTAGCTTTGAGCTGAAGACTACCTACAGTATTGTTGACATCGACGTCGACACCGAGCTTCTTTACCTTGACTAAGGACAAAAGACCCGGTCTATCATCGTCAGGCAAATACTTCGTAACTGTGGATAGTCTTGCGACCTCTTCACCCAATTCTGGAAGATAACTCAACTCGTGCAACCTGCCAATTTTGGCCTGTAGATCATCCACAGTAAGTCGGAGTACAGATCCTTGCTGTCTTTGACGAAGCAAAGTATCAAGAAGGATATCATCATCTTGATCATACTTTGAATTCGATGGTGCGATTAATGCCAACAATCGATCTATATCGTTGTCCTTGGGTGAGTTCAAGAACTCAATGCGCGTCGTGGAAACGTCAATAGCAATGGCAGGATCGTCAACGGAATGCTTGAGATGTGGCCCAGACAATCTAATCTTATCAATACCAATACCGATTCCTTCCTCACGACTGATCAACTTCACAGCAGAAGTTTCAACTCCCACGCTGCATTCAGTGCCCACCAAGTCAAGAATCAACCCGCCGATCCTAACATCTGCCTTGTTCTGCACCGCCACTGTTTGATCATCAGGTTCGATAGGCGTATTGAATTTTACGCCTTTCGTCTTCGGCTTTATTACTGGGCTGGAAGTGACTGTCGAGTTCGACGCCATCGAGCTACCAAGGTTGAGTACGCTGCTCAACCCACCAAACCAGCTAAAAGTCTCATCAAGATGCTGTAGGTCAACCGCCACATGCAGGGGCAGCGTATGGACCTCAAATCGAGTACTGTCATGACTTTGGTATATGTTGGCAGACACGTCGATGCCAGCAGAAGCAGCAAGATCACGAGTAGAAGCTCTCATTTGAAGACCCGCGTCAAAAGAAATTATGTTTTCTTGGGCGTAGCCAAAAATGAACTTCTGTAGTGTTATGCTAGTCTTGGTAGTATTGCCCGAAGGATCTCTAGAGACATTGAGCCCCTTGATTGTGGTCTTGAGAAGAACATCCGAATCCGATGACTTCGTCTGTGGTTCTGCAATCCGTGAACCCAAAGTACCCTTGAGATTTTCCAAGAACTTCAGTGATATGGTTTGAGCACTAACCCTGAGATGAGGTTCAGGAGAGCTAGACGTAAGCTTACTTGACACAGTAGTCGCTTGTGTCTTCTTTTTCATAGACCCTTGAATCTGGCAAACAAGCTTATATATAAGTCTGCCCACAGATACATCGAATTGAGCCAGTAGATTTCCTACGTCAACCTCGATTGATTTGTTCTCTTCAAGCTTCTGCGGTGGCTGTACTGGAATTCTAGCTGTTGGTTTAGGCGACGACCGTGTGTGTTGGGCTTTGGGTAGATGGGTAGAAAATGCCCCAGGAAGATCCATTGTGTTTGATTGTGAGTCACTGTGGCCATCAAAAGTGCTGCCGAATAGTGCTGATTCAGCAGCTGCATCTACAGGGTCAGAAGAAGGATCATTCATCGCCGGAATATAGATAGCGACTTGATCAAGACTGAAGATCTGCTTCGTCATTCGGTTATAGTCACCAGAAGCAACAGTAGACTTCACTGAGACATCGCTCGAAATTTTGTGTAAGAGCTGAGACTGGCGTGAAGTTTCCGGGCGAATAGAACCTGTGCTTCTATTTAAAGCATTTTGTGAGCCTGAGGGCAAGATCGTGGATTGCTCAAGAAACCCAAGATCTGACGTGCCATCCGAAGGAATAAAATGGCGAGCATGTTCAAGATTGTCGAGCTTTTCCACTCGTGGACTGTAGTCTCTTGGAGTAAGTGGTGGAGATCTTGCATCTTCGCTATCAGTGCCTGAATCTGCCCACCCACCGGGGATTGGAGCAGCAGAAGTAAATGAGACCGCACTCATGTACATGCTCTCAGCCTCTTCGTGACTGAATAATTGAGACTGCGCAAGATCATCTCCAATCTCCTCGTTGAAAGTCGAGCTGCTACTTTCACTCATAGAATCTTCCGACGGAACCCCAGACTGCTGAACCAAAAAAGTCCGATCAATTGGCGCAGTATTGGACGGAAGTGTCGGCTGTGAATGAGATATTCGCTCCACAGAAAATCTAGTATGAGCTCTGGGTGGTAGCATGGTAGATTGTAACATGTTGTGAGCTCTGTTAACGCTGTGGAATGCATTGACTTCTGGAGTCTGGCTAGAGGGCGAGGTAATATGAGCAGAGGCCCTTGGCGTTGAAGCGCGTGAATTTTCGCCATGTGTGCTATGCTCAGATTGCGATAATGAAGATCTCATATCATCTCCCTCAGGATGATCCAAAAGTAGGGAGTCGGTAACTTGATCAAGAATTGCTGAGCTTTGAAGCAAGCTATCTCCCATCTCGCTGTTATCGATATCCCCATGCTCGCTGCCGGAAGGACTGGAATGTCCATCTTCTGATGCATCGTCAAATCGTCCACTATCATTAGCAACAGTCGAGCCTTTAACAACTGGCGAGGTTTTCACGGGCCTTAAGGGCGGTGAAGGACGTCTTATTTCTGGCAGTGAAGATTCGGAGACTCGTAGTGACGAAGCAGGAGATGAGGGGGGACTAGGGGAAGCAACTCGATCGAATGCACCCATACTTTCCACAGATATAGTTTGTGTTTCTTCTGATGATCGCTTATTTTCTGTAGCCCGCCTTGATTCGGTTATGTCAGAGTGCGGAGGTATTGGCGATACAATGGAGGATGATCGAGAGAGAGTCTGGAATAAATTTGCCTCTGTGATAAGTGCTCCTTGAATATTGCTGAGACAGATCAGTCTCTTTCCCTCCTTGAATAACGAGGCTATGTCCTTCCCCCCTCTCGTCTGGGTAGACTCAATATCATGCGTAACTCCCTCGATATCGACATCGTCAATCTTCAACTGAACTGTTACTGGATCCGTGGTACGGTTTGGCGTCGGCCCTTCTGCAGGAATATCGAGATCCACATTGAAAGTAATCCCATGCACCCGTACTTGTAGCCTGTCCACAATGCCCTGCAAAAATCTAGCCATGAATGCCGGTAAGGAGAGAGCCGTCCCAGTTCCAACAGGTGAGTCTCCTCCCTCATTAGATGTAACAGACTCTGATGCATCCTGCGTCTCCCCAAGAATTGCGGCTTCCAACTCTTCCTTGTCTTCTCTCGATTCCGTTTGTAGAAATGATGCCGCGATGTCCTCTGCAGTCGGAAGTGTGGGATCTAGGTCCTGGTTTCTCGATAAAGATCTCTTCCTTAACCTGTCATGGTTCGTCCGTGAATTATATGCACCCTTCTCCTCCCTAACCCTCAACTGCACATCCACTCCATCAACTTCGACCAATATCGGACTGCTATATATATCGACCGGTATCGTAATCCGCAGCAGTAAAACTTTCGCTTTACTTAATGCGATCGTGGAAGGAAGTTGTAGTAAAGTCTCGAGTTTCTACACCTTGCATGTCAGCATGACATCCTCATCCTCGACGTCAAGATCATGATATAACAGTTACCTTTAATCTCAACCCAACATCCTTAAATTCAAACGTGCTATTTTTCCCCCACGCAATATCCAAATTTTCTAAATCCAATGCATCCGTCTCAAAGACTTCCAAACTAGAAAGCGCATATTGGAGTAATCGTTTGGGCATCGAGGAAAATTGGAAATAAGAAGGCATTGTTGCTTGCGACTTCGTTATGCAAGGGAGTATTAAAAGTTATTAAAAGAAATCAACGCCTCTAAGCAATAGTGTCTTAAAGAACACCGATAAGAAAGAAAATCAGAAGTTTCGGCGTATTTGATGGATGGTTTTATCTTAAGAAGAGGAAGGGCGGCTCCTGACGTCGACCTTGTGCACTGATATTGTCCGGGGCAAGATGGGAATCATACTTGACCGTACCCTCAGATTTTAAAGTCGCTACCGTACAAATATATCAATAATGATAAGTGAATGTGTTGGTCAACAGACCGTTGCCACTGTTGATGAAGATTCCCTACCGTACCTAATGGTAGGTACTTTTGAATGGTTCAGTAATGGGTGGAAAGGTGGAAAGTTGATTTAGGTAGAAGATAACTAGGATGTATGTGGAGGGCAAGTGATTGTTTTCGGGCGATGTCCTTATCGATAAGAGACTGTTTAAATTTCCTCGTGCGGGTATGGCTTACTGTCACATTAGTACACAGCATTGGCTAAATGATTGGATTCGTTTTTCTTGTCGAACCAATTGTTATATTCTACACATATTGAGATTCTACAAGGTATTTCTTCTATGTTTCAGAGCCTACGAGAAAATCATCATGCAGAGGGTTTTGGGTTTTGTATATTGTAAGGGCACTCTTGTTCTGTATTAGGTTTATATAGAACTATACCCATGTTTTATATATAAAGCTAACCTTATGTGTTTCGTTAGTGTCCATGTATGATCATATGATATGATCTGGGGCCCTTTGACGTTTGGGAAGAAGGTTTAGAAGGAGGGTCTGAATAGAAGAAGCTTTTGAAAGAGAGGTGGAAGAAAAGAGAGAGGAGGAAAAGTATTCCATACAAGACAGACTCCAAGACTTATATACAATGACTACATGTACAACGCACACCAGAATTGTTGTTATTCAAAGTGTAAACCATAAATCGTACAATCAATAATGACCCTCGTGCGTGACCATAATGGATGAGGAAACCTTGGAACCTTGGAGCTATTTAACTTCCGTACAACTACACGATTGCGTGGCATTAGCTGAAATAACAAAAGCTTCGAAAGGTGCTGTTTTTATCTGATTTCTATATAGATGATTGTAATGTTGAATATCGACTTCCAGTCGAGGGTATCGTGACCCTCCCTAATCGTGACCCTCCCTAATCATGACCTAAATCGCCGTGTTGAATGCACATGCTTCCCTAACGCAAAACCCATCAACTCCGAATAGAAAATTTTTATCATCGGACATGCTCAATTTAATCCTGAGCAGCCAATGGACCATCCCCATCTTCTCTGATTTTTCTCGCACTATCTTCATCGTCTCCAAACTCCGTTACTATCCACAAGCAAAATTGTTCCCACTCCACGCTCCATTCTTGCAATCTCTTCGCTCTCACACCGTTACCCATCGAAGCTTCCTTAACATCCTCTAACCATTTGCCAGCGCTTTGATCCTCGAATGCTGCCCATCTTACACTGTTTTCAGCCAGTGAACCTAGGCCAGCAAGTCCAAGATTATCCCAGCCTTGCAGAGCTTGCCAGAAATCATGCGTCATACCATTAACATCCTGACCAAGAATCGAAGGGTCATCGTTACAGAGAGAGCAGGAAACTCCTCGTGCGAGAAGCGCTGGTAGAGGATGTGACATGATCGAAGCGCAGAGGCGAAGGACCTCGTTCGAAATTGGACAACTCTCTACGAGAATTTTCTTTTCCTTGACCAAATCAATCAATAAAGGATGCTTGTATAAGGAAAATCCATGACCAATGCGACGAGTTCCGAGTAGAACAGCATCGAAGAGATTCTGATCAGTATCGCTACCATCACCAAGACATTCTCCTGCATGAAAGAAGAAAGGGATTTCGACTCCTTCTTGCGCACACTGCTTCTTGAACCAGAAAAGCTCTGGCAGAAGATCTTTTAATGGTCTTCCAGCATCTTCTTGGCCAACAAGATCATATCCGGATATGAGATCCGGGTAAGTCATCTTGATTGTTAAACAAGCATCCATATCTTCTACGATCTTTCTTGTATCCAAAACTCGAAGACCAGTCCAAATCATCCTTGCTCCCCAGAATCCCTTACCCTCTTCTGATGCCTTGAACTTCTCAATTTCCTCTCCGAAAACTTTGAACATGTTGCTGTATGTATCATCTGCTATCTCTTGACCTTCACGGTAATAAAAGAATGTGAAAGCCAGTCGTAAATCCACCCATTTGACACCATCAGCAAGTAAAGTCTGCATCATTCTCTTCATGAATGCCTTGAATATAGGCTCATAGAAGATGACTGTGTTCAAAATCGTAAAAACCGAAGAGAACTTCCTCCAGACTGCATCAACGCCGTGATGATGTTCGATAGATTCAGTATCAGTAATGGTGCATCGACTTCGAAGCCAACGTAAGAATCCCTCTCGTCCACCTTCAGGAAAAGCCTCCGCAGCATCCTTCAAGGGCACAAAGCTAAATGGTTTATAGCCCTCCTTCCAAATTTCTGCACCTTCTCCATCTCCATTCTTCCTGAACCTAAACTTAACGGGCCCCGCCTCCCTACTTCCAGGCGAATCTAAAGCTCGATCACAGAAAATGCACATGCCCTCTGTCTTCAGCATTTCTTCAAACAAGAAATCATAATCAACCATCGCATCCATATGCGCATGCAAAAGCGCGCCCTTGGGCATCTTTTTTACAATCTGCCATAATTTCGTCTTCTCCATCCTTTCCTTTGCCAGACTGAACATCATACCTGGATATATATTCTTCCCCGTTTCTTGCGCAACATGGTCCTCGAATTCCGAAGTCCACGTAGAGGCTTGTTCTTCGAGACGGATTCGGGAGACAATGTTGCAGGCTTCTTGCGCAAGAGGTGAGAGAGCGGATCTGAATGCATAGTCTGTTGTCAAAAATATAAGTAAGTGACGAATTTGTAGTATGAAGAGATGTTACGAACCACTGCGCTGCTGTTTCTCCTGGTCTATAAGTGCTTCCCTTCCACCAATGTACTTGTTAATGAACGGTTCATCTTTTGCAGGAAGACCAGCAGCTATTTCGGCATATTCATCGTCTGGTATTGTGGATGGCCATGGGAGGTCTCTGACTCTATTAGACATGATTGTAGAGCAATTTGACTTGATTGATGGACTGTTGACATATAAGAGCTTGATGACAGGAGAAGCAGAATAGCTAGGTAAGCTTGGGAAGTGGCTAACACAACTATTTGAGTATCTGAAGGCTCAAAGAGTGGACACAAACTAATTTCTAATTATCTCCTCACTCCACTAACAAATCTTCGAATATCAATCTCAAATCACTTTGGTATAATGAATCATCGCTAAAGATTACAGAATAGGTAGGTAGTTGGTGTTGCACCAAAGCAGGAATGGGGGATGGCGGGGGTCCTTCCGATAAGAGCGATAAGCATTTGGTAAGAGTTTCTAAAGTTGACCCTATCCACGATTAATCTTTATTAGTAAAGGTCGAGGGTCTTCCTGGGTTTTGTCAGACCGTATCCATACTAGGTAGGCTTTGATACATCATCGTATTATTTTGGAGAGGGTCTTTTAATTTCTTATACAACAAGACTGAATTATACATCAATAAGAGAGTCAAAATCTACATTTCCGACATGTGTTAAGAAACCGGGTGTATATGTATCACGTTCTCCATAACCCTTCCACCGCCGAAAACCAATATATGCCGAAAGACGCCATGAATTCAAACTTCTTCCACAACTTCCCTCCACTATCAAATTCATGTTCTCAATGGTTTGAGTTTATCACAGTGATGTATACCCGTTTCGAAAATGGAAATTGACGGCACTACAGTTGTATGCTCTAAGCCACGGACTCAGCGTACGTCGACTCAGCATTGGATGGTGCCGATCGTAGGCGTCCAATGATACGAATTAAGTGCCCTCGTTGTTGAGATCCATCCAGTGCTCACTATCGAATTTCTATAATTTGAAATTCCTCCTCACCAGCGCTGACCTTATTTAGCATCGGAGTTACCAATGCTTCGATATCTCCAGCTTCGCCAATGTAGACATAGTGGTCTTCCACCCTTCGAACCAAGTGAAGTACCTCACTTCCCGCAAGAAAGACTATAATATCACCCTTCAATGCCGCAGTCGGAACGATGCTAAACTCGATGGAGGTCTCACTTGCAGTGCGTGCAACCCGGATATCGCCCGATTTTCCCAAGGTATGCAGGTCATCACTCATAGAATGATAGTCATCCCAATAACTTCCCGGGCCCGTCTTTCGATGATCCAGTAGTTTCCGGATAAACTGTATGACACTTGGATACGGATGCTCGAGCTTTTCTATGGCCTCGGTATCCTCGGCCAATAAATCCAAAATAGTATGAACTAAGTCACGATCGAAACAAGTCAACTCCACCAGCCATTTCCACCCAAGATGAACACGGTCCAAAACATCGAGACTAAACATTTTGTCACGATCTGGAAAAAGTGTTTGTAAGATTCGGATTACCCGAACAACCTCGGGAGATTCCCAGACTTCTTCTTCAATAATTCTACCCCAGAGCGCACTTGTGAGTTTAAGAAAAGGATGTCGGTCACCGAACGCCTGCTTATAGTTTAACAATTCGGAAACGGAAGATGCAAATTCTGGCAATGACTCGGCATCTCCGAGGACATCACTCGTATCATCGAGCGTTGCAATGACTAGTGCAGGAGCAAACAGGCTTTGTTTGCAGATTGAAATGTCATTCGCCCTATTGTTAAAATTACTTCGGTGCATATTGCGCTTCTCAGTTGAGGAAACCAGATAGGAAGGCTGATATGCATTTCCATTGGTAGAACAACCGGGAAAATTCGGTACCCAGGAAGGCAGCTCAGGGCCTTCCGGAGCTTTATTCGCATAACCAGCGCAGCGAAGGAAGTACAAAAGCGGAAGATTAAAAGGTCGTATAGCTTCAACGTGTTTGACGCAAAATTCGATATATACGTCAGCGACAGATGTATTAGAACTATAATCTGGTATGATATCTGAACCTGTAAGTCCCTGTAAGGCATAGACGTGGTCCTTTGGGTTTGTCGCTTTTAATGTGGCGCCTATTAAGTCTTGCGATCGTAACAGTGCAAGATATAAATCTCTATTCTGAGGGGTTAAAGTCTGCTTTCTGATATTCAATGATCGGGATTGTTCGATCCTCTTTAAGGGGTTGAAGGAAGAAAGATATATGATAGTCTTCCATAGATAGCTGTCGATATCTCGTGGTCTAGTTTGCGTCTTTAGGAACCCTGCCCAGAGAGCTACGAAGTAGAGTACGTACAGGAAAGTACGCTCAGATGTATGAAAGAAGACTAGGTCTTTTGAAAGTACAAGCTCTTGGTATATCCAGGCACGACTCCAGTATTGAAGATCCATGAACTCTCGCAAGGCTGTTCGAGCTTTGTTGCCATTACAAACGCTCCACTCGTCTAAACCCGAATCGTCGTTTCGTTTTGGAAAAAGTGCATATTTAGAGTCGGTCCCAAATAACTCCAGGTCATTGAGCATCCAATCTATCTTCACATCTTGATGTTCTATATCTTTTTTGAATCCACTCTCGAGTGCGCCAACACATATTGTGTTGATAGTATCGATCGCTGTTTCAATCAATGATGATTTCTCCGACATCAATGAGCAAAAAGTGTGCTCTGCTGACGAATAAATTTTCTTCATTAGAGGGACTTGGTGATTTTTTTCTTCAATATCTTGTTGATTTATGCAGATTGCATCTGCCCATAAGAGAAGAAGCCTGATACTGCCTTCCGACCTCTTCTCCATTTCTTGCCAATGCATTGGTACATATTTGAGGGCGTCTGCAAGGCTCTTGGTAACGAACAGTGTTGTGTCGTTGACGGTGATCTCTTCGGTCATCGCTGGATTACCCCATTGGTAGGAAAGCGCAACAAAGGTAGGGGATTCCAGGAGTGAGACGACTCTCGTTCTGCAGACGATGCTTGGATCAGTAGCAATGATTTCGAGCAGCCTGATTTCCTGTCGAGAGGTGTTCAAATCGCTGTATATTGAACTGGCAGCCATTGCAAGAGCTTCTGAAATGGAACAAATGAGTGATATAAACTCGTATGAGATATATCGTATGTCGATAATTGATGCTTCGAGTTTCACTGTTTGCGACGTTGAGGTTCAATAATATCGTTTTATGATTCCGCACTTACAGTGAGAGGCAACAAGTCAAAGGCTTGCACATAGTAGAGGCTCAATCCTGACGTGTACTTTGTTTGAGAAGCCTCGTTCGAGGCAGACTTTGATTTTTTGGAAAGTGAGGCTTCATTCTGCAATTTGCCTCGTTCCTCCTTTCGGCACATTTGTATACATTTTTTTATGTATAAATACACGTAGCGATACCCAACACCACTACAATTGCTTGCTGAAGGCTATGCATAGCCATATAGGTGTGGGACTGACGTGGCGACTGATTCTTATTCTGATTGGTAGCAGTATATATGCCTACGACCTCAATACAGAATCACGTAAACTATTTTGCGTACTGGCCCGAGCTGAATGCTGTAAATTAGAGGTTTTTAGAGACTCAACAAACTTACTGTATCTACTCGTCAAAATAATTGAAGATGCATAGAATATAACGCGTAAGGTAAATGTTTTATTAATAAGTATGATTCGGCCCTCGGGGTAGAGCATTTGACTTAGGCCTAAACTAAGATTTAGAAATCCGAATCTGATTGGGTCTGATAGAATCAATCTACGTAATTGAAACTAATGTTGAGAGATAATGCTGAAGAACTTTTTGAGTCTTAAAATTGAGTACATCTTTCGTTTTTCTGAGGTTTCTGATCTTGTGTCCGAATGATCATCTACAACATACTCTTTGGCATATTTTTGAGGGCCTGCCTTACTCCCAAATCGCCCAATACCTCCTCGGCTCCACCCAAGATAGCATCGAATTTGTACCTATAAGATATTAGCAAGATATTTCCGGTGAAAACTTCTCATAGCATGGGTACTCACGTTCTATGGAACATCTCAATGGTTCTTCCCATCCCACTCTGCGTAAGCGCACGTCCACCAAAAATCTGCACAGCTTCATCTGCACATTCATGAGCTGAACGGGTAGCGAACATCTTAAGGAGACCAATTGGGCCCGCGAGATGAGTCGCTTGTTGTTTGTATGGCATCAAAGTCATCTGATATGTGATATTCTCCAACCATGCTTGGTTTGCCTCACAGTGAGATATCATCTTAGCAAGCCTGGGAAGGTCAGTTGGGAGTTTCATTTGCACTTAACGAAGCAAAACTTACTTTTGTCGAATGACTGGCTGATCAGTCAATTTCTTGCCAAACACCAATCTTTGATTGCTCCATTTGATACATTCCTCTGTTGCTAGTCGCATCATGCGAGTGACACCACTAGCCATCATCCATCTTTCATGGTTGAAGTTACTAAGGATGACGTGGATACCCTTGTTCTCTACTCCCAAGAGATTCTCAACTGGTACCTTTACGTTATCGAAAGTGACGTAGGCAGTTCCAGCTGTAGGTGAGTAGGAGGTTTTTATTGGTGTTGTCTCTACACCCTCGCCTCTTTCAATCAATACAACAGACAGGCCCTTATCTAGACAGTTTGTTAGTAGGTGATTAGACATGAGAAGTGATGTTTAATAGTACCTGTTTTAACACCAGTGACGAAGTAATCGCAAAAGACTCCGTTGGTGATCCATTTCTTAGTACCATTTACGATATAGTGTTTGCCATCTTCGGTTTTCTCTGCGGTTGTTCGAATACCTGCGACATCAGATCCAGCAAACGCTTCGGTGATGGCCAAGCAAATCTTCTTCTTCCCACTAAACACCTCTGCGGCAATTTTGTTCTTCCATGCCTCATCGTTGGCAAATTGAAGAACTGCCGTTAGAGAAATAGTCATACCAGCCTGGGATTAAGTGTTAGACATGCATTGAAATATAGAGTAGGCTCTATATAAAAACATGGATTTATAACTAACCATATTCCCATCTTGAAATCCTCTTGCATTAGCGCGAACCATCTCCTGTCCAACGATCATGTCATGAAAATAATCGAACTCCTCCCCCTTCACGGCGCCATCCATAAGGTTAACACCATGTAAGTGTTTCCCTGGGCCCAATCTCATATGTAAGATCCCCATCTTCGACATTCGATCAATCAAGTGTTGTGGAATATGCGCCCCAGTTTTTTCGCACTCCTGAGCAACGGGGGTGACATATTGATCCGTGAAAACTCTCATTGCCTTTTGCAACCGCCTGTGACTTTCATTATAATAAGGACTCTTAAATTGTGGAGTTAGCCATGTAGGTTCTCCATATGGCACGACACTCAAATCTCCGACATTCTGTTCAATAACTTGCGATTTTTCGCCTTCAATTGTGCCAATACATAAATTCGAGTATTTTTGTAGGACTTCTTGTCGATGTAGGTTATAGAATGCTTCGGTTGCGTCTGTGCCGCCAACTTGTTTTAAGACGGATTCTCCTCCTGGATGAGCATCGACGAATTCAGTGACATCGTAGACCTTGCTGTCGATTATAAACCAGAGAGATTCCTCAGTGTTATTTTTGGAGACTTCGTCTCGCGTGAGGGTGTGGTGAGGCATTGTAATGTGTAGGAGGTAAGTGAATGGATGATAGTATATAACTTCCGCGCGAGATAAGACAATAAATGAGAGAATCAGAGCATGAAAGGAGAAGAAAAGAAAGATACAGACAGAGTCAGCGTAACCTGGGGATTCGGAATCATTGGAACGCGCCGTGATTACTATTGGCAGTGGGGAATGTACCGAAACCTGGGGAACGGGGGCAAAATACCGAGGTTCAATTAACCAATTAGCGTTCTCGAATTACTAGCGTGTCCGGACTGCAATCCAAAGCTTTCGGATGTTTGGATTGTACACTTCACTTGTGTGGATTCGATGATTCTTCTCATCAATTTGTACTCTCGTCACTGGCTTCAAATAAGTATATTGCAACGAGGGGGATAGTAATAACTAAAGCCACACCAAATTCAACTGTACTCAGGCATCGTCGTATATCCACAGAGCATTGCGTAAGTTTTACACATACTCACCAGGAAGAATTGTACAAATGTGCATGTTTTCAAACCGCATAGAGGCTCACCGGAGAAACGACGAATTAGATATCAAATTAATTCATTGCTGTTGATAAAGACCATGATAAGTCTATAAAAATGCTTTGTCCATTTCTGGCTGATGTTAAGTTCTAACTTTCTTCCCTTTCTATTCTAATCAACACTTGCAGAAGGAGGAGGGAGAGTGTATGTGGAATGTGTATTTATCGCTTAGAAGATTGGTCCCCCATTTACAAACACTGTATAATCCCGATGAGAATTTGCGGGGGATATTTTACCTAAAGCTCAAAATCGAGAGTTCTAATCTTGATCATGAGAATTTCCTCTTCGAGACAACAGCAGCAAGGAAGGTGACGAACGCGGAGAAGAAAGAAGTACCTCGGATGAACCACTTGACCTACCAGGTTGTCTACCAGATCAACCAATCATATCTCAAGTATCGTATCCATCAAATCATTGCATCTGATGCGCATCTCTACTATTGGAATTTGAAATCTAGTGATTCCTATTTACATGTATTATACGTACAATTTGCAGTCTGCATTTAGCACTTCTGTTTTATTGTCGTGGCAATAGATGCCGGATAAAAGCCAGGGGTATAACTGCAATCCCAATGAAGTTATTCACTATCTCAGATCTTTCTCAAATTGGAACAGTTTCCGATGCATACCAAGCCGGGGATTGGCCGAATTCAGAGTAATGGCTTTGGAGGGGCGCATCAATAGCTTCTTTACATGTTCCCCGCGTTCACTGGAAGAATATGAGGTATATAGTTCTGATTCTGTCTAAGATCTTATCAAGATGATTCATTGATCGTTGCGGGAATCATATTTCAAGCTGAAGTGTCTGTCTTTGAAATTGAACAATATGCTTCTCCAGGGTATCACCACATGGCTCTTGATTTCTCTCACTGTGGCCCTGCCTGCTCCAGAGAGACGCCAATTGGCACCTACAGTTCAAATATCACATGCCAAAATCATCGGGTCTAGCACATCAGGGATTGACACATTCAAGGGAATTCCCTATGCCCAGCCGCCCACCGGATCTCTTCGCTTGAAACCACCCAAAAGTATCACCAAACACATGGGAACTATCCAAGCAACCAGTGTCCCCACAGCTTGTCCCCAAGGTTCGGTCTCCGGTCCCGTCGGCGAGGATTGTCTAACACTCAACATCCAACGCCCCTCAAACATCACCAGACACTCTAAACTCCCTGTGCTCTTTTGGATATACGGCGGCGCTTTTGCAGGCGGCTCCACTCAATCTTTTGACGCAACACAACTTCTTCAAACTTCCATTTCGAGTTCCCAGTCTTTCATCTACGTAGCAGTAAATTATCGCCTAGGAGGTTTTGGTTTCCTAGCCGGTTCCGAAATCCTCAAAGATGGGTCTTCTAATCTCGGCTTGTTGGATCAAAGATTAGGTCTCCAATGGGTCGCCGACAATATCGCTTCTTTTGGAGGCGATCCTAATAAAGTCATCATATGGGGGGAGTCCGCAGGTTCAATTTCAGTATTTGATCAAATGGCTCTTTATGGCGGCCAATACCATTACAAAAACAAGCCTCTATTCCGCGGTGCAATCATGGATTCCGGCTCCATCACTCCCGCCCAAACAGTCGATAGTCCGCGCGCACAAGCAGTATACGACCAGGTCGTGCTCGCGGGCGGCTGTCAAAATTCCACCCACACACTCAAATGTCTCCGCGCCCTCCCTTACAAAACATTTCTCGCCGCAACTCTAACTCCCCCCTCCTACACATCCTACACTTCCCTCGCACTCTCCTATCTCCCACGCCCCGACCACAAAAACGGCGTTCTCCCCGCCTCCCCCGAAATCCTCGCTTCCCGCGGCCACTTCGCCCCCGTCCCCTTCATAATCGGCGACCAAGAAGACGAAGGAACATACTTCGCCCTCGCCCAAACAAACCTCACCACCACCAC